AGATTTCCCATAGAACAGTGGTCTCTAACCTTTTTAAACATGAGATCACTTTTTGAGTGTAAATGCAATCCAGGATCTACCTCAAACCCAAATACCTCTGCCCCGCCTCCTCCCCACCCCTTCTCTAAGGCCCTGCCCCTGCTCACTCCATCCTCCCTCCCCCATCCTCACTCTGTTTATCAGGCCTGGGAGCAGGAATTTGGGGTGCAGAAGGGATTCGGGACTGGGGCCAGGATCAGAATGCAGGCTCCAGCTGGGCACCACTTACCACAGGTGGCTTCTGAGTGGTGGTGCAGGGGACCCCTGCCCTGACCCTGCACCACTCCCAAAAGCAGCCAGCAAACTCTTTCCATCCCTGCCCCCCTCTGCTCTGTGGAGATGGGATACAGGTGGAGGGAGGGAGGGGCACCCTGAGATCAGTACCCCCCTCCTCTTCTTCCTGTGCCCTGCACTGCAAGCAGGAGGCTCCCACGGGTGAGGGGCAGCTCCAAGGCAAAGGGCAGGAGCAGCATGGCAGCGCTGAGAGGGCAGCCGAAGTGCTGGCACTTGATAACCTCCCGGCCAAACCTCTCAGGATCACCTGTCAAAGGTTCCAAGATCTACCAGTAGATCCCGATCTACTGGTTGGTGACCACTGCCATAGAACAACGCCCAGGCCCTACTCTCCAGGCATGAATCTGCCTAGCAGTCACCAGACAATGAAACAGTTTCATGGCACAGAGGAAGGGTTTTCTCCTAGGCTGTGTCTAGACTACATGCCTCTGTCGGCAGAGGCATGAAGATTAGACAGATCAGCAAAGGCAAATGAAGCCGCGATTTAAATGATCGCGGCTTCATTTACATTTACATGGCTGCCGCGCTGAGCCGACAAACAGCTGATCAGCTGTTTGTCGGCTCGCACACTAGTCTGGACGTTCCCCCTGTCGACATCAAAGCCCTTTGTTGGCAGCCCCGTTATTCCTCATGGAATGAGGTTTACCGGGGCTGCCGACAAAGGGCTTTGATGTCGACAGGGGGAACGTCCAGACTAGCGCGCGAGCCGACAAACAGCTGATCAGCTGTTTGTCTGCTCAGCGCGGCAGCCATGTAAATGTAAACGAAGCCGCGATCATTTAAATCGCGGCTTCATTTGCCTTTGCTGAACAAACAAATCTACATACCTCTGCCGACAGAGGCATGTAGTTTAGACGTACCCCTAGAGACCTAGAAAAACTGTTCTCTTTCGCTCAGAAATTTCAGGCAAGTTCATATCATCAAATGCCTCCACAGTTTGAAATAATGTTAACACCATCATTAATACTGTTCTGATGACTCACATCTCTCCTCCCACACTTCCAAGCTGACTTTAAAATTAAAAATTTAAAATATTTTATATAGAGAGCATTATCCTCCCAGGAAGGAACCTTGGATCAAGAAGCTTCAGGGTAGAGAAATGCAGATATGGGGAATCACTGCTAACAGAATAAAGGTTGCATTTTTTTCCTTGTTGTGACCAAGAAAGTTAGAGGAGAGAAACTTTTCACTTTTAACCCAGACAGAAAAATATCATACATTCACTGCTTTTCATCTGTCCCACTGCAGATGAGGCACCAATCTGGGATTTTCTAACAGGAAGCGCCAGGATCCAGAACCTCTGAAACAGAAGGAAGAGATCAAGGAATGACCTCTTCAGTATGCAGATGGAGATGCTGGAGCCATCCAGGCTCAGAAGCAGATTGCAGTTTAGAGTTTGCTAGAGTAACCCTTCTGCCAGGTGGCACCAGCAACAACCAGGGCTGCACCCAATATCTAGGGTTCCTTTCCATCGATACAGTTAGAATTGGCTCTGGCCTCCACCCAGTAACCTGGGAAATTTATACACCGCTTTTGGGTGCCTCTGAGAGGTGCTACCTCCTTACTCACAAGCAGACTCTGGGTGCACAAAATAAACTTTTAATAAAGAGAGGGAAGTAACTCCAGAGCAAGACATATGATTTGATGTTGCCTTCTCTAACAAAGGTAATATCGAATAATACAATAATCTATACTAGTGATCACCAACCAGTAGATCCCGATCTACTAGTAGATCTTGGAGCCTCTGACAGGTGATCCTGACTGGTTTGGCCAGGAAGCTATGAAGCACTAGCACTTCAGTTTACCCTCCACCCACTGTCCTGCTGCTCCTGCCTTGGAACTGTCCCTTGGGAGCCTCCTGTTTGCGTGTGGGAGGGAGTGGAGTGCTGGGAGGGAGATGGGTGAGTGTGTGTATGTGTGTGTGCTGATGTCAGGGTCTCCCTCCTCCCCCCACTCTTGTACCCATCTCCACCCAGAGAGAAGGGGGTGGAAGGAAAATCTGTCACTCTCACAAACACATAGGCTACATCTACATTGCGCTCTCTTGCACAAGAACATATGCAAATGAAGCACGGCAATGAATATCACAGTGCCTCATTTGCATACTTACTGAGCCGCCATTTTGCACAAGGGGCTGTTGTGCAAGAAGGAGCAATCTACATTGTTCCTTCTTCCGCAAAAAACCCCTCTTTTACAAGAGCCGTTTTGCCTGAAAATAAGCGGCAGAACGCACTTGCGCAAGAGGGGTTTTTTGCGCAAGGAGCAGTGTAGACTGCTTCTTCTTGTGCAAAAGCCCCTTGCGCAAAAATGGCAGCTCATTAAGCATGCAAATGAGGCACAGCGATATTCATTGCCATGCTTCATTTGCATACGTTCTTGCACGAGAGAGAGTAATGTAGATGTAGCCACACTATCCTTCACTCACATCTCCTAACCTAGCTCACACACGGGGGCGGGCAGTTGTTGTTACTTCTGTTACTGCTTACAAAGTGTGTTATTTTGGGGCTTTCACTGGTCTGTGCATTTCATAATTTTCATTTCTCTTTTACACTTACATTTAAGTCTTTGAGCAGTGAGTTATAAAATGCCTAAGCTGTTGTGGCTGGAGTATTATCTCTGTGGTAATTGCTGCTCCTGGATGTGACTGGCAAGTCCCTGAGAAAGGCAGAGCAGGGGGTCACCACCAGCAGTCCTTACCTGTAGACACCACTCCCGCAGCTCCCATTGATCAGTAATGGGGAACTGTGGCCAGTAGAAGCTGTGGGCTCAATGCCTGTAGATGAGGGCCAGCACATGGTGGCATGGAGCCATTGCTGTACATGCCAGACGCTTTCAGGAGTAAGTCTGCCTTAACCCTACCACTCTACCACCCAGAAGCCAGCTCAATAAAACAGTGCTCAGCCAGAACCTGAATCGTGAACCCATCCCAGCCCTGAGCCTCATCCTGCATCCAACCTCCTGCCTCAGACACGAGTCCTCTTGCACCCAAACTCCTTCCCAGAGCTTACACCCTGAATCCCCACTTGAACCAGAATCCCCTGCCCTGAGCTAAGCCCAGAGACCCTCCCACACTCCTCACCACTTGGCCCAAAACCAGAGCCTGCACCCAAATCCCCTACCCCAGCCTACTGAAAGTGAGTGAGGATGGGGGAGGAAGAGGGATGGAGTGAGCAGGGCGAGACTTCGGAGAAGGGGTAGAGCAGGGATAGGGCCTTAGAGAAAGGGCAGGAAAGAAGCAGGGCAAAGGGTATTTGGGTTTGAGTAGATCTTACATTGCACTTCAAGTGAAAAAAGTGATCTTGCGGTTAAAAAGGTTGGAGATCACTAAAGGAGAGGCATCCTTCATGCTGTCAGTCAGAGAACATTTGAGAAGACTTGAGAAGTTTCTAGGGGGAGGCAGACCCCCCCCCGACTCCCACCACAAGGACGAGGAGAAGCAGTGCGCTGAGCGAGTGTGCATGCCCCAGCATCCCCGAAGCAGTGGGGAAGGAAGAGGATACATGGTCCCAACCCTCCTCCTGCCTCCAGGAGCAGCGGGAAGGGAAGAGGATGCATGGCCCAAGCCTCCCAACCAAAGGGAGCAGTGGGGAGGAAGGAAGCCATGTTCGCACACCCCACCCCCCAGCATCCCCGGAGCAGCAGGGAGGGAAGAGGACGCATGATCCCAAGCATCCCCACCCGCTCCCAGGAACAGTGGGGAGGGAGGAGACCCCACAGTCTGAGCCAGCCCACGTCTCCCCAGCCCCAGGGGCAGCAGGGAGGGATGAGGCCATGTGGTTCCAGTCTCCCCGGCCCTGGACAGTGGAAAGGAAGGCGGCCACACAACCTGAGCTGGTCCAAGCCTCAGGGAACAACAGGGAGGGAGGAAGCCCCATGTATGTCTACCATCACAATGGGATGGGTAATACTAGTAATAAATAATATTTAATCCTGCCCCCCCAAACTCAATCAAAACAAGACTTCTGCAAATGCTTGTCCCCACCTGGAGACAGAGAAGGGTGCATCTACACAGCACAGTAATTTCGAAATAACAAACATTATTTCTAAATAACTACGTGAGCATCCACACAGCAATTCCGTTATTTCAAAATAAAATTGAAATAATGGTCAGTTTATTCCAACTTCCATAAAGCTCATTCTACAAGGAATAATGCCGCTTCCGAAATAGCTATTTCAGAATAGCGATAATGAGGACGCTTCACTGCTGCTATTTCAAAATAGCTTCTCCCTAGGACCAGAGTAATTACTCCCCAGTGCCTCCTGGGGCTCTAAATTGAGGTTGCACATCCTCATTAGGGTAACCTGCCTTGGACTAATTTGGAGGCTTCCCTGTAGTGCAGACGTGCTATTTTGAAATAAGCTATTTCGGAGTATTTCTTCCGGAATAGCTTAGTTTGAAATAGGGTTCATGGACACTGCACACTTAATTGAATAAACGATGGTCATGTTGCTTAATGCGTGACTGGAAGGCACTCAGATCCTATGAGTGATCAGTATGATGCAAGAATAGAATTCGGGAAAATACCACAAAGAGGGCTCATAAACATAAACCCATCCCCCACAGGCTGGGCAGCCTCATTTTCCTCTCAGGCTCTGAAGTCCAGCAACTCAAATGTCCCTTTCATGTGTCAAACCCTTCTCTGCAGCCCACCCTCAGTTGCTGCCCTTGGTCAGTGCAGACACAGAGCTCCGAGGTGCATCTGCAGAGTTCACCTCCCACCCTGAGAGGAAGGTGAAGAGTCACCTAATTTGCTTAGCTCCTTAGGCATGCTTGCTTGCCACATCTCTCTGGCAGCCACCCTGCTGGCTGCTCACTGGCTGTCTGTTTGCTGCTCCCACCACCCAGCTGCTCTCTGCACTCAGCTGCTCCCACCAGCCACTCATCATGCTTTTCCAACACTGCTCAGCTGGCTACATGTTGCACCTCTCCATCTCCCCTGCCACTTGTTCATCAGCTGTCAGTCACCTTTAATTTTCAGCTCTCTGCAGGATGGACAGAAACACATCTTAAGTGATTTCATCTGTCAAGTGATTTTTTGTTCTTATCAGATAGGGAAGAAACACAGTCCTGCCATAACAGAAGTCAGTTCTGATTTGAGCAATTAACATAGCAAAACAGCTCCCAATGAAGGCCATTTAGCACTTTCTTTGAACAGTGTGTCTCTTGAGGGAGGGGTAGGGGCTGTTAAAGGTGCTGAAACTGTGACAGATGGAACCAGCACTGTTTAAAAAGACCTTTTGCTGAAACAAAATACAGGTCTATGTAGCACTTTAAAGACTAAATAGTTAAAACAAAAAACAGGACTATGTAGCACTTTAAAGACTAACAAGATGGTTTATCAGATGATGAGCTTTCGTGGGCCAGACCCACTTCCTCAGATCAAATAATGAAAGAAAATAGTCACAACCATATATACCAAAGGATACAATTAAAAAAAATGAACACACATGAAAAGGACAAATCACATTACAGAACAGAAGGGGGATGGGGGGGGGGAAGGAGGTGAATGCCAGTGAGTTAATGGTATTAGAGGTGGGGAAGGGGAGATGTCTGTGAGTTAACAGAATTAGAGGTGATAATGGGGGAAGCTATCTTTGTAATGGGTAAGATAGCTGGGGTCTTTGTTAAGTCCCATGCGGAGAGTGTCGAATTTTAGCTTGAATGCCAGTTCAGAGGATTCCCTTTCAAGTGCAGATTTGAATGTCTTCTGAAGTAGGATGCAGGTTAGCAGGTCATTCAGACAATGTCCTTTCTGGTTGAAATGACAAGCAACTGTTTTTTCTTTGTGATCCTGTCTAATGTCTGTTTTGTGGGCATTGATTCTTTGGCGAAGTGTCTGAGACGTTTGTCCAATGTACATAGCAGACGGACACTTTCGGCACATGATAGCATAGATTATATTTCTGGAGGTGCAGGAATATGTATTCTTGATCTTATAGTTCACTTGGTTAGGCCCAATAATGGTGTCAGCAGAGTGAATATGTGGACAAAGCTGGCAGCGGGGTTTGTTGCAAGGGAAAGTACCAGGGTTGGTATTAGTGTGGTATGTCCTGTGGTTGTTGGTAAGAATCATCTTGAGGTTAGGTGGTTGTCTATAGGAGACTATGGGTCTGTCTCCCAGAGCTTCTTGGAGTTTAGTGTCCTGTTCCAGTATAGGCTGTAATCTATTGATAATGTGTTGGACAGGGTTAAGTTGGGAGCTGTAGGTGATGACAAGTGGTGTTCTATTGTTGGTTTTCTTGGGTCTGTCTTGTAGTAGATGGTTTCTAGGTATTCGTTTGGCTCTTTCAATTTGCTTTTTTATTTCTCCGGGTGGGTAGTTGAGGTTTATAAATGCTTGGTAGAGATCCTGAAGTTTCTGGTCTCTGTCTGTGGGATTAGAGCAGATGCGGTTGTATCGATGGGCTTGGCTATAGATGATGGATCGTATGGTGTGTTCTGGATGGGAGCTGGAAGCATGTAGGTAACTGTATGAGTCAGTGGGTTTTTTTTTGCTGAAAGCTCTTAATTATTTCAGGGCCATTTCCAGTCTTTGTTACCCATGGGTGAACCAAAGACATTGCCTTGCAAACCTCCATCACCACAGTACCAACGGTTGATGTCCCACTGTCAAACTGATTCTACAACCACCTAGCTTGTTTCCAATATTTTTCAGGAGGTCAGTATGATTAATCTCACTCATTAAAAGGGAGGCTTACTGGTTAACCATTCACATCCCTAATCTCTACCGTATGAAATACATGGAGAAATAGGCCAAACATAGGCCAAATCTGTTCGTTCTTAATAGGGCAAACTTTCATTAATCAGTTTTTGCAGCAGTAAGAGAAATTAAAATTTAAATGATTGATCCCAATTTTACTGCCTTGCTTCCTTTTGTAGATTACCATGACCGTAACAAAAATTCATAACTTATATTAGTTACCCCTCCTCTTACCAATGGCAAGAGCTAAACAGGAAGCATGAATGTGTTCCTACCAGCATGTGGTTTGAATTTCTTAGTCTGTGTTAATTGGTATACAGACTATCAAATCAACAAAAGTGTTTTAAAGGAAACATGCTATGAAAACTATTAGAAATTTAATTTCAGTGAAAAATCTAACCATTACTTGCATGCAGGTAGAGATACATTCTCATACTGCTCACTTACAGTTGAGGGAAGGCAAATAAAAATCAGTGACTTCTAAAACATCCCTGTTACCAAGGAAAATAACTGCCTTGCTATAGTCCTTTAACATTTCATGTTATTCATATTTCTTTTCAAAGTAAGAAATTTTGGTCCTTCAAGGAATAAAGTCAAAATATGTTATAAACGTACACAAATATATATAAACTATTAGTATTTGTGATAACTTTATTTCAACTAACTGAAAAGATAGTACAAGTTTTCTAATTTAAAAAAATAAATGTATTTTCTTGTGATTCTCAAACTAGGAATTCTATGTTCCAAGGGTTTTATAAGAACATCCCATGATCTTCAATACTTTTTTTTATTCAAGGTAATTTTACTGCTTCCGTTACAGTAAATTCTTCCACTATAATTATTTTAAAAATTAACACAAACATTTGACCCCCAAATAAGGAGACTGTCACATTCTGGGGTGCAATCCAGACCACTCCGTGATTGTGTCACTGTCTGCCCTGTAATCCCAAGTGCCTTAGATGCTCTGCTGATGTGTATTGCAGCCTAGATACTGACAGCCAACAGACAAGAATGTACTGAATAGGGATGTTTACAAGTAGATTAACAGATAAGCTAAGGTTTATCCATTAATGTAGTTGACTACATGCACTTCTCATTCCCCCACTCACTCTGACCGCGGTGGGGGGCGGGATCTGAGATCCCAGTGGGCAGAGGCTGCTCCCTCTTCCAGAGAGCAGCCTCTGTTCGTGGTGAACTTGAGCCTGCCATGGACAGAGGCTCTTCCCCAGTAGCAGCAGCCTCTGTCCATGGGGGATCCTCTGTCTGCAAGGAACTCAGACTTTCTAGCAGCAGCATCTGTCTGCAGGCAGCCCAGGCTCCTGCAGACAAAGGCTACTTTATGTCAGCCTCCCCAAACCCCCGCCCCAGCAGTGTCTGTCCACAAGGAGCTTGGACTCCCCATGGACAGGAGCTGCTGCCACCCTGCACTGCTGCCTCTGTATGGCTACGTTTATACAACATTATTAGGAAATAACATAGTGCACGTCTACACTACAAGCCTTTATTTCAAAATAAATGTCAAGCTGGAAGACTTCTTACTCTGACTCATGGTAACCCTAATTTCACAAAGAGTAAGGAAAGTTGAAGGAAGACTCCCTATTGTGTAGACAGCACCAAAAGCCGAGTTAAGATACTTCGACTTAAGCTACGCAATTGACACAGATGAAGTTGCGTAGCTTAGTTTTACTTTAGCATAGCTGTGTAGATGTGACCTATCAGAGGCAGCAACATGGGGCAGCAGCCAGCTGGTCCGTGAGGGAAGCTGGTTTTTAAACGGTCTCCCCTTTTGGGCCAGCTCCCGTCTGGCACCCCCACTGCTGCAGATACAGAGGCAGCAGCGTTGGATGGCAGTGGGCTCCCTGGGAGTGGGGCTGGAGTTCACTGGCTGCCGGCCCTGTCCCCAGGACTATAGAATAGCGGACTCTACTAAAAATTCATGTAGTTAGTTGACTATTCTATTACTCGCTGTCTAACATCTCTAGTACTGAGTGTCTGTGTATTAAACAGCACTGGCTGAGCACTCTGATTACCGCATGTCACGGTCCACCCGCTGGTCCCAACCGTATTGTCAACAAAAACAAAACAAGGAAGGCTTTGGGGTTAATGCGTCGGCCGCTGCCGGCGGGGTGGGGTCCGGGACCTCCCTCGCTCCCGAACTCCGGCCCAGGGCCCTAACACTAGGAGCTTGACTCCCAGTGGAAGCAGGTGGGCGCTTGTCCCTAAACTCGCCTGCTCACGGGCTTCGCGACCCTCCCTGGGCCTCAAGACCCTGCCAGCGACGGGCTCAACTCTCCCCGCTCCACCCTGGCGTAAGCGACTCGGGCTCCCAGCCCGCTGGTTCCTCCCCAGCCCCGGTACCTGCTCCTCCGTTTTCCTCCTGCTTCCTTCCTCTCTCTCGCTGGCCCATCCGGCCCCTTTTATCCTCCCCTCGGCCGTTTATCCCCATTTCCGGGTTCCCGGCGGCCATTTTGCCCATCGCATTGGTGACGTCAGCTGATATCATTTCCGAGTGCTGCTGCACGCCGTCTTTCCCGCCCTCGGGCCAGCCAGCCGCAGTCTTCCCCGGCCCCTGCCCGTCTCGGTGGCAGTCCGGAGGTGGGTTCCCCAGGGCTGCTGCCGCAGCCCCGGCCGGTCCTTCCGCCCGCAGCTGGTGACGGGGTTGCTCCACCCCGTCACACAGCAGCCTTCCTATTACACCCAGCCACATTCTGGTGTACACCAATCTTGGTTCCTTCTAACCAAGTAACTCCAACACACTCCCAGTGTGGAATTTTCACCAAACCACACACATTGCAATGTCTGGCCTCTTCCTGGACCATTCAGAGGAATAAGGTTAGTTTGCTCCTATAAAGAATGAAGGCCTAGCGGTTTACCATATAAATTGGAGTTAATCTTTTCAATTCAAATACAGTATTAGATTGGGTGTAGATTAAAACAAAATAAGTTTATTAACAACAAAACATAGGTTAAGTGATACCAAGTAAAATAAATGAAAGTACAGATGGTTATGTACAATTAAAAATGAAAATCACATCTAAAAATCGAATACTTTATCTAGCCAAGATACGGGCTTTGGTTTCTCTCACCAATCACTTTGTCCAACATGGACCTTCCACAGAAGTACAGGATGCTGGATCCTTTAGTTTTCCTTTAAAAAAAATTGGTATTCCTTGCCTCCCTCTTTTAAAGTCCAATGAACCTCTGAAATTGATTCTTCTGAAGGCTAATCCCCCAAATATAGTTCATTCAAGCTGTGAGAAAGAAGAGAGTCTGATGAGGAAGAAAGTTCCATGTTGGATTTTTTCCCTGATTGTATTTCTTAAAATGCAACTTAAATTGTTCCTACCTCTCCAATGCAAATTAAAGGCCATTTGACATGTGACTGCTAATCAACTCTGATGGCATCTGGCTGGAGGCACTAGCTTGTCCTGGTAGCTTAAGAACCAACTCTTTGGGCCTTAGTATTCAAACACACTCTTTGCTACTATCTTAACATTTCCAGGAGAAATTAATATGCTACTCCTGTGTGTCTGCAGATGCACATAATTCCCCAGAATTCCTATCTTGTTTAATTTTGTATTTTCCTGCATAAAAAATATGTTGCATAAGAAGTGATGCACAGGCTGCTGTGACAGGCAAAAGGAGGAACTGCAGCACGTTTAGGCAACGTTTTTTCGTGTATGAAAATAACAAAAGTTCTATGTCCAGTTCTATAGAATTCCCCTTAGAGTAGCAATTCATCACAGCACCCCTGCCTGCAAAGCCAGGTTAGGACAGAATAGGGCTGGTGGGGAGAGACAGCCTGGGATTCAGAATAGCTAGTGCAGGGACAGACTTATGGACTTAGGGATAATGGGGTGATAACCCTGAGCCTGAGGATAGTAGATGAAGAGATCCATAGGGTGTGGAGGACCATGGGTAAATGTTCCAGACTAAATTGGAGAGACTGGTGTCAGTCAAGGCCTGCTAGGGTGGCTTCCCAACTCCCTAACAATGCCCACCCCACAAAAAGCCCTTCTCCAACCATATCCAACAACCTATAGGTTCATTCCTAGGCTCCTTCTCTCTCCCTCAAATCCTGCAGTACCCGACTCCCCCAAGCCTTTGTATTGCTTCTGCGGGAAATACAGTTCTGAATTGTAATTTAAATGAATTACACATAGTTCTGTATTAATATGTCTAGTAAGGAATCTATTTGTAAAAAAAAAAGTTTTTTGCTTGTATTGTTACAGACATATTTGCTGACAGGTATTTTGAAATAAATTACTAAAATAATTGAAAGTGGCACAATTATATTATATTATTTTGGCAAATAAAATATACAGAATTTTCAAACATTGTGTGCAGAATTTAACTTTGTCACAGAAATCCCCCAGGACTATATGCAAATGAATTTAATATACAAGAAAAAAAGGACTAAAATGATGAATATTAACTAGCAATGTTTATTTGCAGAAAACATCTCTCAGGATATTCTTTAAATACATGTTGCAAAAAAGAAGCTCCATTTAAGAATTAAAAGGAACAATTAGGAGAAATTTTTCTATCTAAATATTTTAAACATGTATCAAACATCCTGTTCGCAATATAGATATATTTGTACATTAAAAATCTATACAACGTCCTTTTCTCTCCCAGTCTCCATAACGAGTAGGTTCAGGGCCTTTGGGTCCACCCTTTTCCTTTGTGGCAGGATTGATGTTATCTGGAAATTCTAAAACAATATGGAAACTTTAGAGGCTAGACAGTCATCTGCCCAGAATGATTAAGCATAACAAACCCTGTATCTTGGCAGGGAGCTAGAGTAGATGAGACGTGGTCCCTTCCATCCCCATGGTTCTATAATTCTATGATTAAAAGACCAATCAAGTTGGCAGCCATAGTACAACAGTAAAGATTGACATTATTACATCTTGGGAGCTTTGGGTTCAAAATCTTGGCCACAATTATCAAACATAAGTAGCTATAGTCAGGAACCTAATACCATAATTTAGGCCCCTTAATAAATGTGACCTGATATTCAAAACAAAACAAAAGCTGCTCATTCACAGCTATTAACACTGAAATGAAAATACACTTAATTGAATAGGAAGTGCACATACTTGCACCTCTGAAAATCAGTCCACTCTTCACTTTTGCTGACGCCTCTAATTTTAAATACTCAAATCTAAAAATATTGGCCAAGATACATTCTGTCTATATTTCTTTGTTTTTTAGGCAGGAGAGTGGGAAGACATCTCAGTTTATGTAAAAATAATTGAGTTTTTATAGAAGCAATAATTTCTACCAGGAACTGTGTGTTGATTGCTATCACTTCATGAGGAAGGCACCAAGTACTATAATGACAGGCAAAAACATAAAACCCTAAAATAGACAGAAAAGCTTTAAAAAAATCAAATATTTTTAAATGTGCCTTTTTATCTTGCTTTGTTCAGCATCTACATGGATTTTTAAATGTCAATATATGCATATGATTCTGGCATGGGTAGGAGAAGCACAAATGCTTCATCATCTCTATTTAATAGAACGCTATAAAACTTCTTAAAATATCTAAGCAGTAGAATCTCAAGTGATTCCTCAGTGGTTTTGATAAACTAATTATTCACTATCTACTGCTATTGTAAGTCCTCTGCTATCTGGTTCAGAGCCAGCATAGAGCTGTTGGCCTTCTAAGTGAGAATTACTGCAGTGTCATGATCAGTAAACCCAGGTACAGGTAAAATGAAAACTCAAGGCTTTTTCTGACTTAGCCCTAAATACAGAAACCCTAAACATGAACACAACAAAAAAGTATGGATTCATTAAAGTAATATCAGTGATGGCATTCACTTCTTTTGGGTGTAAAAGGATACAAGACAGAATTAGAATTAAACATTTGTCTCTCTCCTTACACAGTCTCTCCAAAGCTGCATAAATCCTGATGGTAATCACAGTTCAATACTATTCACAGCCTCAGACATTCCTCTTATTTGTAAATCATTTACATAGCACTATAAATGTTTATGGTGTTTACAGGCATGTAAAAAAAGCCTTGCGCTAGACAGCTTAAAAGTAATTTAGGTGGCACAACTATAAGACACAAATTCTAAGAGATGAACAACAAAAGGCAACTGATCATGGTGCAATGGGTGAGTACTGCTAGTTTAAAGTAACTACTTGTCTTAGGCCAAGAGGAACGATTCCTAGAGATGGCTGTGAAAACACACACAATTTATATGTCACTTAAATCAAGTGCAAGGGGCTTTACAGGACCAATGCCTAAAATGGCAGTTTGTAAGGAGTTAGTGGCCTGATGCTTTTGCTTTTCTACCACTATATACAACTCAGTCATAGAATTTAAGGACAGAAGGAATCACCAGATCACCCATTTCCACCTCCCACTGCAGTATAAAACAGGTATTTAATGCCAGCTACGAACAGATAAATAGCATGTTTCAGAGTTTTCCTCTACAAGGCTTGATCCCAAGAACTGCTAAGCATCCACTGCTCACATAAGATTTGCAGGCACTTAGCATCTCCCTTAATTGCATTGTTTCCCTCTTTTTAGAAAACCCATAACTTACTTTCCAGTGGTTCTCTCTCTCTATTGGACTCTTCTGGTTCATCAAGACGACCTACAGGTAATTTTGATTTCTTAGGGGATTTCTGGATAGGTTCAGACTTTCCTTCCACACTAGAACTAGTTCTCCTCAAAGAGCTGCACAGTGACACTGGCCCTATCAAATAAACACACATTAACAGGTAAGTTTATTAAAATTAACAGTTTTATGCTGAATAACTGTGTCAACCAGTGTTTAAAAACCCTCATCCAAACTTACTCCACTCCACCTCCTGGAGAATGAATGCTCATTCTGGGCAGGAGCACAAAAAGATATTTTGTGTGCCAAATCCTAAACTGTTAGGGCATATTCTTAAATGTAGCCCCTAGAGAGAGATACAAACAAACCCATCAATGGTCTAGTGTGTATCTGTGGCTTTTAAACTTGACAAGGTTATATATCACTTGAAGTATCTTGTCCTGTATTTCAGAGTCAAGATAAGAAGTATGCTGGCATGCACCAATGTACACATTTCCCCCCCTCCAGGAGCGGGCTTCTACTTCCTAGTTGATTTCTGGGGCCTGCACCCAGAGTTGGAGCTAGATAGCAAACCTTAGTGGCAGGTGTTGGGACCACTGGACAACCCCTTGCTACAGCAGCAAAGCAGTTACAACCAAAGCTTTCACTGAGTAAACCGAGACAACAGTGAGCAGATCCGAATTCAATCTAATTTATACAATCAGCCTGTACAGGTAACATTTAAAGAAAGAAAAACATTGATTTTGTCGGCAAGCCCGATCCACATTAAAAAGTGAATTTGGGAGAACATCTGGCACTAGCCCTACTTCACCATCCATTGCAGCCAAGGCACGCGGGAAAACCGGCCAGCTCGTCAAAGCACAGCCACGAAGGTCTCCGCACGCGTACACAAAGCAGCGTGTCTGCACCGAGATCGAGCTGTCACTTACTAACAAAGCCGGTGGAGATGGAGGTGCAGGCGCGCTCGGTGACGTTACAGGTTTGGGAGAAAAGGACGCTTCGAGTACGCAGAAAACGAGAGAGAATTTAAAAAAGAAGGGAGGGGAGGGGAGGGGAATTTCGCTCAAGGAAACGTCCGTGATGGAACGTGACCGAAGAGCAGGGGCAGAAAGAGCAGGGCGCGTGCAAAGGGAAAGCGAGGGAACAAGCCTTCGCGCGCCCCGGGCCGCTCCCTGGTACTGGGCCTACGGGTCCCCTCCAAAACACTTGGATCCGGCCCGAAACCCGCGCGCCCGCCGGGGCCGATGAAGAGGCGGGTTTCCCAAGGCGGCTTGGCTGCCGAGGGGCTTCCCGCCCGGACACCCGCCTGCGAGCCAGCGCCGGGAGGCCGCAGCCCGCCCTCGCAGCAGCTGGTGGAGACCGACCCCCGGGGAGCCGCCCGAGCAGGCCTGGCTTGCAGCAGCAGAGCCCCCGGCAGCGGCGCGGCGCTGGGGCCCAGACGTGCTGCAACGTCCCGGGCCGCGGGGCTCCCCCTACCCCGGCGCTTCAGGCAGGCTCAAGCCAGCGGGCCCTTCCCGCGCCGCTTACTCGCCACTCGGCCCAGCTGCAGCAGCCGCAGCGCCATAGCGCGGAGCTCCCAGGGGCGTGGGCCGGCCTGGGCCTGCGCGGCAGCTCCGCTCACCCCCCGCGGGGCGCGCAGCGGGCGAGGCTGGGCGTGACAACCGCTGAGCTGCTGCTTGCCGGCACACGCGTGTCGGGCCCCGCCCTGCCCCTATTCCCGCCCGATTCCGGCTCCCGGGGAGCTACAGCCGGGCGGTGGGCGCCGCCCGTGTCTGATAAAACAACGTGGGAACCCCTCATTTCAGGAACAACGCGCGTTGAAGTCCCGGGCGCTTCCGTTGCAGAAGGGACACAGATCCGAGTCAGAACCGTCCCCTTCAAGTTCTCTACTCCTTCAGCTACTGCAGTAAGAGAAATATTTTAAACAGCCCCCCCTTCTCCCAGGGCCTTCTCTGAAAACAGTGGAAAAGCCTATTCTGTGCCATACGTGTAAGACATGGTGGTAGAATGATAAAAAGGCTAGAGGAAGATAGCTAGTGCCATTCACTGAAAAATATTTTAAACTAGCCCCCTCCCCATCAAAAGTCCAGAGAGTTTAAGGAGAGGAATAAAGCACCATCAGGAAGATAAAACTCCTACTGTAACCTTGTCTACAAGCAGAATATACCAACCATCACTAAATCTGCATAACTCTTCTTTGGACGCTCAGATTGGACCATCTTATAGGGTGCATTTACACTGCAGGGCTAAAAACTACACAACTTCAGCTACATCAATTGCATAGCCTATACCCATATAGATTTAACTTGTCAGTTTCTGATCAATGGAAATGAAACTAGTATAATAAAATATGCTTAATCTGAGTGTGTACACAATAAGATTTAAGTAGTTTAACTACATCAGTTTCTAGAAACAATTTACATTTGTTAATAACAATTCTTGCTTCAGATGAGTAGCCAGGAAACATTTATTCAGTAGATTAAACATGTGAGTGTAAGAAAACAATGTATCTCTGATTCTCAAGTAAAGCTTACTCAACTTCATCACGTTCTGTTTTTGTTTTTTAAATACCTTTGAATAGTTCCTTGCTTTCTCAAACATATGCTGGCTGGTACAGAGCTATAATATTTTAGTATTATCTGCTACCAGCTTGAAATGCATATCTGGTCGGTGTGAGGTTCATGCACTTTGGAGCTTGCACGCATATATGCCTGTTTACTGGGTTTATCTTCTAGGCCATGGACTGTCAAAATACAGCCATTGCCTAGATCTGACCTGCCAAACTACCGTATTTGGCCCATTACTGTCATGCCACTCACTGCTAGCTTCAGGCAGGCTCCCATCCTGCTACACCCCCACATGCCACTTACAGTGTCTGGCTGTGGGGACCGTATGTTCTCTGCGTGACACATTCTGGGGGGGCACTTCACACAACCAGAAACTAGGCAATGAAACCTGCTTGGGCTGTGCTTGCTGCACAGTTCACAGAGGGCTTCCCTCCCCAAGGGGCTCATGGGACGCAGAGATCACATGGTCCCCACAGCCAGACACTTGGAACAGCATGAGGGAGCATAACAGGCAGGAAACCAGCCAGAGAGTTGATTCAGGTAAGCACCTCCTAGCCAGAGCTTGCACCTGGTACCCCACCCCTTCCTGCACCCCAACTCCCTGCCCCATATCACAACTCAAATCCTATGGACACCCTCCTGCATGCCCGCCCCAGGTTACAATCCTCTCCCAGATCCTGCACCCTCATACACTCTTCCTCCAGATCACAATCCTCGCCTGCACCTGAATGTCCTCCCACACCTTGTGCCCAAATTTTCCTGCCCCAGTTCACAACCCCCTCCTTCACCCAAACTCCCTCCCGAATTCCACACTACTTCCTGCACCCCAACCCTATGCTCTAAGCTCCTTTCTGCATCCTACCTCCATCCCAGACTTACCTCCTCTATTAATATCATAGACGAGCGCAGCTCTTGACTACTTACCAAATTCTTGGAGTGGCCCCTAATAAAATGATTGCTCACCCATCTTCTAGATTAATACATAGCCTTACTTCAACAGACAGCTTTTGCATATAACCACAAACTAATGTTTTATCATAATATAGATTATGTAATGTATTGTATTTTCCTAATAATTATATTTGACTGATACAAAAAGGTAGGGTGACAATCAGAACAAAAGGAAAAATACTTTCTGTAGACCTCAGGATTTCTTTAGTAAAAATATGCTTAAATTGTAAACAAAGGGGCATAAAAGTGTATTAATTTCTGCTGCAGAATTTGATCCCATTTAAGAATGTTAAGCGGGTAATTCGCTTATTATGTAGTCAATGCAAATTGTATTAACTACACAATTAGTCGATAAGGGGAGGTGATCTGTCCTGGCTCATGCTGGGTCCAGGAGCTACCCCTGCTGCACCTCTACAGTTCAAATGTAGTAGGAATAGGTGCGCAGCATTTCAGCTCCTACTTCATTTAAACTGCAGAGCTCACGCCAGCTCTGGAACCACTGAGGCTTTGCATTTTAAATGTAGTAAGAGCTACCTGCCTCTTACTACATTTATAATGCAGAACTGCAGTGTGGGTAGCTCCTGGGGCTCTGCTTCCCTTCCCCCTCCTCACACACCACAGAGATGGTGCTGGACTGAACCGTCTAAAAGCTGGGTTTTGCTCCCCCCTTCTTGCTGCCCCTGACACAAAGGCAGTGGGGTAGGGGGGAAGCGAGTAGTCACTTGACTACCCAATAAGCTTTGGCTATTGGGTGTCTTTTGACAAAAATGCCTCCAAACGTAACAAACATTTACAAGAATGTAAAATACATTTTTAGAGTAATGTGAGTGTAAATACTATGCACAACCAATAAAAGAGCCATTTTCATAGTTGAATGTCTTGATTGTTGTATTCTTTTGTCAGCGTAAGGCTGTGGTTCTCAACTGGTGGTCCATGGTGACTTTTTCGGTGGTCTACAGGAACATTGTCCAAAGTCACACGGCATGAGCAAGCACTGCCATTAGGCTGTTTTATGCCGTGTTCAGAAGCACACGGCGCGTCATCCATAGCTTCACCTAGGACGCAACCACATTGTGTTGCCAGTAACTTCCGTCTGAGGCTCTGAGCGCCAGTGTAGCTGCCGCCATTGTGCTGAGCGGTTGCTGTGTCATTCGTCTGGTGCTACATGTGCTGTTTTACAGGTGTGGTGTAGTTTGTTTATAATAGCAACGACAGGAAGAAATGTCAAGCACAAGTATTCAGAGGACTACATCAAATTCGGCTTCACTTGTTAAGAAAAAGGAGGTGTGGATTTGCCACAATGTGTTATTTGTTTCAAAGTCTTGGGGAATGACTCAATGAATCCGCTAGTTCGGACTCCGTGCCCCGTGGCTACATGCGGCACGAACTAGGTAGTTCGGACTAGGCTTCCTATTCCGAAATACCGTTACTCCAACGGTGCATTCTGCAATAAGACAAGCAATGCAGTGCGTGCTTCCTACATTGTTGCATACAAAGTTGCACAGGCCAAGAAGCCTCATACCATTGTAGAGCAACTTGTGCTCCCCTGTGCAAAAGAGATGGTGTGACTTATTCTTGGTGAGGAAGCAGCAAAGAAGCTGAATGATATATCTGTCTCTAATGACACAGTATCAAGATGGATAAATGAGATATCACAGAACATCAGTGAACAAGTTGTGGATGAAATAAAGAAGTCTCCATTGTTTGTCTTACAATTGGATGAATCGACTGACGTCACGTGCTCTCAGCTATTGGTGTTCGCACGATACATGGTTGAGGGAGACTTCAAAGACAAGTTTCTTTTTTGTAAGACTCTTGATACCCCCACAAAGGCTCAGGATGTGATGGAAATTAACAATTTCTTTGAAGTACATGATCTGGATTGGGTAAATCTTGTGGGTGTCACCACACGCTAGTGAAACAGCATGCTCCAATGGTAACTGGAGTTCACTGCTTTATTTCATAGGGAAGCTTTGGTGTCAAAAAACATTGCCTGATCAAATGAATGCCGTTTTTGAAGGGCTGACAATAGTGGTGAATCACATCAAATCATTGGCTCTGAACACCAGGCTGTTCAAAAGATTTTGCTTGGCCATGGGTTCCGACTTTGATGTGTTGCTGTTCTATACTTCTGTACGGTGGTTGTCAGCAGGGAAGCTCTGAACACCCAAGCTGTTGAAAAGATTTTGCCTGAACATGGGTTCTGACTTGGATGTGTTGCTGTTCTACACTTCTGTACGGAGGTTGTCAGCAGGGAACGTACTCAGCAGAGTTTTTCAATTGAGAGAGGAGTTGGATTTATTTCCCCAGGCTCAAGGGAAAGAGGAATTCCGAAATGTGCTGACGCAGTCAAATTTAGAACTTGCGTATCTTGTCAAAATTTTTGGAATCTTGAACAAACTGAATCTTCAGCAGCAAGGGAAAGGTGCAAATCTGTTTTCTCACCAAAGCATCATCAAGGCTTTTCTTGACAAATTGGAACTCTGGATCATAAGAGTCGAAGGCAATCATTTGGTTCAATTTCCATACATGGATGCCATGCTCCGGGAAAAGGAAGCCATTCGGATGCAAATTCTCCATCATTTACAGAAGCTATGAGACAAATTCCAACTATACTTTCTGGAGGTGGACAGGACAAGGGATGGATTATTTTTCATCAGGAATCCATTTACAACAGATGTTAATAGTGTTTCAGAGCATCTGGAGAAGGAACTCTTGGATCTGAAAAATGATTTTGCGGCTCAAGACGTGTACCAGCAGTCCACCATAGAGAAATTTTGGGTCAGCATGACCGGGAGTTACCCAAATCTGTCAACACACGCAGTCAGATTTCTTTTGCCATTTGTATCAACTTGTGTGTGTAAGACTGGATTTTCATATTTGTTGCACATTAAGTTCAAACAGAGGAATCAGCTTGCAGTGGAAAGCGATATTTGTTGTGCATTATCAAGTACCACTCCAAACACTGAAAAACTTGTCAGGGAGAAGAGAATCTAAAAATCTCTTAGTAAGAAATACATTTCAAAACAAAATATTCGTTGTCTGCTCTTTTTTATCATGTCTCAAAAAGGAGGTGGTCCATGGACTGAAACGAGTTGAGAACCACTAGCATAAGGACTTGCCTTATGCAATTCAATAATACAACATTATTTAAAGTGATCAAATGGTTGCTTTGCAGACTAATATA